CGCCTCCCCCCCGCTCCCCCCCTCCCTCCTCGCCCCGCGCGCCGGCTGTTCCAGGAACGGCGCCGCCTCCCCCAGCAGCAGCCCGCAGCGCCGCCGCTCTTAAAAGGGCGATGGCGGCGCGGGTGGAGGGGCCACCCCCACGCGTGGCGGGGTGGGGGGTGGGAGGCCCCRTGCGCACGGAGGCCGCACGGGGCCCCGGGGGGATGGAGGGGAGCCTGGTGTGGCGGGGGATGGACGGGGGTGTTGAGGGGAAGGACGGGTGGGAAGGGAGGCTGGCACGGGGACAAAGGATGCGCACACGCGAGGGACACCGGGACACGCAGGAAGGGGGGCAAAAGGCACGGAGGGCATGTGGACGTGGAGACGGGGACACGGGGTGCGTGGATGCAACGGGGAGACTTGCTGGTCTGTCACGGGAACAGGCTGGGGAGGCCGCGATGGGGACAGGGGCAGCGGGAGCCCGCGTGTGCTCCGCGCCGCTCCGCACCCCTTGCACGGGGCCCTCGTCACAGTCTCGGGGTGCAGGACACCCCCAGCACACGCAGTGGGTGCCCCCGCGTGGACCCGCATGGTGCCCGCGCGTGAATAAATCGTGCGAGTTACGGCCCCGGTGAAGGGCGAGGGGCGCGCGGGGCCGCACGGGGGGAGCCCCGCGGCCTCGATCCGCCGGCTGGCGGCGGGAGGGCAGCGGGGGGCGGCAGGAGCGGCGCCGTGACCCATAAAAGCCGCYGCGGAGCCGCCCACGCCGGGCGCCGCGAGCCCGGCCCCGACGGCGCGGCCGCCCGCGGGGCCCCGCGCTGCTTCCCGCCGCGGGGAGCTTGAAACAGCCGCAGAGGCGAGCAGGGTGCGGGTGTGCGTGCAGGAGCACCCGTGTGTGTGCAGGAGCATGCATGTGTGCATGCAGCAGTGCACGTCTGTGCATGCAGGAGCACCCACGTGTGCACGCAGCAGTGCACGTGTGTACATGCAGGAGAACCTCTGTGTGTGCATGCAAGGAGCACCTACGTGTGAATGCAGCAATGCACGTATGTGTGCATGCAGGAGCACCCACGTGTGTGTGCATGTGGGGAGCACCCACATGTTCATGCAGCAGTGCACCTGTGTGCATGCATGCAAGCTGGAAGGCATGTGTGTGAGTGCTCATGTGCATGCAAGCATGCATGCATGCAGCAGTGCCAGTGTTCATGTGGATGCATATACATGCAAGGGTGAGTGTGTGAGCACATGCAGGTGCATACATGGAGCTGCGGTGCACACACATGCGGTGGGGTTGATGAATGCACGTGTGCATGTGCATGCACATCCCGGCATGCAGGAGTGTGCAGCGGTGGGAGCAAGTGCCCGCATGTGTGCCGCCGTGCAGCCCCTGCACCGTGTGCTGTCCGTGCTGTGTCCCATCCAGGAGCACATCCCTTGGGATCCGGGGTGGCTGGCGCTGCCCGCTCAGGGCCGGGCACGGAGCCGCTCGGTGCTTCCCTTGGTGGCCTACAGATGTCATTGGCGCCATCCGTGCGCCGAGCTGTGCCCAGTGCTTGAGGCCACGTGCCGRCCCCAGCCCAAACTGGGGCAGCCGGGGCCTTGGGCACTGCTAGCGCCAGCTGGGTGCCACCGTCCCATCAGGATGGGGACCCCAGGGGTGGACGCAGGAGGGGGTGTCTCTGCTGCAGCCCCCATGCTCAGACCTGTCCCCTGTGTCCCCTGCGGAGCCTGGGGATCTCGCTGAGCCTGCTGTGCGGCTCARGCTGCAGCTGCTGCATCCGCTGCGCTGTCCGGACACCCTGGGGCAGCYGAGTGGGACCCGGGGCCGCAGTGACCGCGTTCCTGGCCCCCTCCTGCCCCGGCTACGCCCCGGCGCTGCAGGGATCCGCCTGTTCCTCTTCCCTCCGGCACAGAGGCGGCCGGAGCAGCGCGGGGCCATGGGGCGCCGGGCGGCCCCACTGCTGCTCTTGCTGCCGCCGCTGCTCCACGCCGCTGCCAACRCCACCGCCGGCACCACCATGAGCCCCATCCGCAGCAGCCCCGCGGCCGCGCCAGCCTCCTGCTTCAACCTCCCTCTGGGCGATGCCGCCGACCTGGACCTGACCAACCGCACGTCCTCCTGCGCCGAGCTCGACTGGACGCCCTTTGCGTCGCGTCACACCGTGCGCCTGGCCCACAACGGCATCGCGGCGCTGGCGGCGGCGGCGCGCGCCGGCGAGGCCCTCGAGCTGCTCGACCTGTCGCACAACGGGCTGCAGCGGCTGCCGGCCGCCTTCCTGAGCCGGGCGCCGCGGCTGCAGCAGCTCTTCCTGCAGCACAACGCGCTGCGCGAGCTGCCGCGCGGCTTCTTCGCGGGCGCGCCGGCGCTGCGCACGCTGCGCCTGGACGGCAACCCGCTGCACGCGCTGCCCGCGCTGCCCGCCCGCCTGCAGCGGCTGCGGCTGCCGTGCCGCTGCGCGCTGCTGCATGCCTGCACGGTGCCCTCCTGCCTCTGCGACAGCGGGGACAGCGTTGTCAACGGCACCGAGTTCC